ACCACAGCTTCTTTTCTATTAAACCACTCAGAGGTTTTATTGGCTGGATATGGAAATGCCAAATTCAATTGGATTCTACTTCCCACATTAATAGGCTACTGCGGATTTTAATAATCTGTCCCCATTATCAAATGCTGGCAAGCAAAATGCAAATAGTAATAAAAATTGCAATTCTTCTGCTTTAAAGTTCAAAGAGCACAGTTCTCATCTCTTCAAGCCTTTTCATACATGGAGAAGGCACTGCTAATGTTCTCTATTTAGGTTTGAAGTTTTATGTTTACCGTGAAAACCAGAATGCTGCACGTAGCAGCCTGTATGCTCATACATGCATACACATGTACACAGGGATACTCCCAAACACATGGACCAAGAGACATATGTGCTCACTCGCATGAAAATCAAGACCATCCCCAAGCAGTGAACTGTATTTAATACAAACAGCACCAGTGCCCTTTGCTTTCTCTGCTGCAGTGACCCAGTGGTGCCTGTGTAAGTGCTCTCACTCTCCACACCGATCCTGATGAGGGCAAGGCAGGGATGGAGCTCTGAGAACAAACCTCCAGAACATGTTCACAGAAAGCAAAATGAGCTGCAAGTTTATCCCTTCAGTAAACAGATTTTGTTCGCTGAACTCCTTATTCACAACAATGTAAAAAAAACTCAATGCTGAAATTCCCAGGTCTTGAGGGATTTGAGCTTTTCAGTAATTAAACTCATGTAGTCAATTGTCCAACACTTTCGTTGTTTGTGAAGAAAAATCCACAGGAGTCTTCAACTTACATTTGCTTTCTTTTACAGATTTCAAATAAGCTTTAAACAATGCCTGTGCCAACTTGTTTCACCACAGGCTCAGTTAAGCCCAATTAGGGCTGCCAGGAATCTGGGTGAAGTGGATCAAAGAGGAACTTTGGAAGAGACCAGGCAGCAGCAACGTTAATGAGACTTATTTGTAATGCATTAATCCAAACATCTCCCCAAATTTCAGCTGTAATACGTAGAATGCAGCAAAGAGTGAGGCTGTTAACTGAAAACATTGCTGTTGTGTAAGGACATTGGAAACTCAACATTATGTCCCAGGAAAGGCTGTTCAGTGTTCTGTTCAATGGGCAGGAGTATTGTTTGGCCTTCCACACGCAGCAGAGTGCAAATACATCATATTTTCAGAAAAAAGCATCCCTGGGGAGCCCTCGCTGCTCAGCAACAGCAAAAACCATTCCCATCAGTATTATTTATATTGTGTAATAATAGCATATTACTTATATACGGACTCAATATCCCTGTGACAGATAGGTTATTAAAATACCAATGGATGGGTCAGGAATACATCAATATTTTAGCAGCGATGGCTATCTACCAAAGGCTGTGCTGAGTCACATGTTTTCTTGTGCTTGGAAAAGCCTGGGGAAAGCTACAATAACTGTCTGAAGTGACTGAAGGGGTATTTGGAAGGGAATTCAAAGCTTGCAGTAAATAGCATTTTCCTTAAAAACAAACAGTCAAGATTGATCCAGCAAAGAAAAAAAAAATGATGAAAAGTGATCCAAGCAAATTTAAAACAGAGATCAGTTTCAAAGGAATTCAAGGGAATGACAGGCTGTATCTTTGAGGTTGTAACGATGACCCACATGAGCAGCAGCAAGGTAAGCACAGGTAAGAGGAGCAGAAGAGTGTCTGGCAAGCTGGTGGTGGGATGGTGCCCAGCTCTTCACACATCCCAGCACTCAGGCTCTGCAGCCATGGGACACTGATGCTCACCTTTGAAGCTACCAAAGCTTCCAAAGAGAGTAGAAGACAATGGCAGGACAAGAGAAAATGACCTGCTCAAAGGAGCAGAATGCTCATCTTAGAAATTGAAAATGAAATCATGTCAGTCATGATAACAAAAGAGTGAGAATAAGAAAGGGGAACTTGCAATGCTGAGGAAAGCTGCGGCGGGGGAAAGGCACACCCCACTGTAAAGGACATCTTGACGTCTTGCTGTTATTTAATGGACATCACTGTGCTAACAGACTGCAGATGTACTCCACAAGAGCAAGTGCAAACCATGTCGTTGCACATCTGTTATAATGCTAAGACCTTTCCAGTGGTATTTATAGTGATATTTGAACAGGTAAACATGCCCTTAACTCTGCAAGGAGAGAAAAGCTAACAGAGAGTGATGAGAAGGAACAGTACAGCTCTGATACAGTCGGGGTGTGAGTACTGAGCATACTAACAGAGCTCTAAAAGAAACATCTCCCTGAAGATGGGTCTGCATGTGTTTAACTTCACCATCAGGAACAACTGCCCTGGTGTGGAACTCAGTGTTTCAGTGCCTGCAGAGCTGGGATGCACATGAGCACACTTGTGGCTTGCCTTTAATATAGCAGGTCTTACAAAAACAGGTCAAGGCTTCCTCCTCCCTAAAACTTCTGTGCCATTGCTACAGATCACATATATAATATATATAATATATAATGCTAACGTTTCACGCCAAACAAATGAGATTATTTAATCTCTGAAGATGGAATCACTTAAACTCTTCCATTTTTATAATAAAGTATTTTTTTCTACCATGTATTTTGATATAGTAACAATGTCAGGTTTTCAGTCTCAGAAAGTACTATATAATAAATCTACACAAAATTATCATGCTGAGCAACTGCAAATTTGAAGTTGTTGAAACTACTGAAATTACAGTTTGTTTGAAGTAGCATTTGTCCAATGCTACCACAGATTTGGTTGTAACTTCCTTCTGAAGACTCGAAGCACAAAACACCTCATAAGAGCTGATACAAAAATGCTTGATTTAAACATGACTGCAATAAATAAGACCTTTTCTAGATCAGAATACCATGATTTGGACTATGCATGGCACTAAATTAGGTCTGGAGCACAATTTTTTAGGCTACGTGTTGCTGCCTGTATGTGATCCTATCATAACTGACTGCTTACAAAGTGACTACCTGCCAGCTGAACTTTGGCAACTTGACTAAGTGCACACTCTTAGCATACCACAACTGCAGGCAAAAAACTTAATAGGCTCCACCTTTATGAGCCTAAACCTGTTATGTAGCCTGATGGATGGGAACTCATCATGCCACCATAATGATCTCATAGTCTAAGGCATAACCTCATGGCGTGAGGAACTTAGCAGATAATGTCACAACTCCTTCCCAATTTTGTTTTTGTGGTTGCAGAAGTACACAAACTATGAAACAATAGCAATCAGCTTCTGATTTCATGTAAAATTAAAACTGGTATAGCTCTAATGACTGTAGGGATATTTTTCTAATTTATGTTTGTCCAAATCACGTCCCATGAATTTCACATATAAAGAGAAGTGGGTTTAATATGTAGATATTATTTCCTTTTCTTATATAATATTGATTGTGAAGAAAACTTAATTACATTTAGCCCATCTGTACTAGCCAAATTAATTAAATATTTCTCTCTGTACTTATCTCTAATTGTAACGTCAACAGAGCTGTCCTAGTACATGTTATGTTACCATTAAAAAAGAAAATTACTTTTAAAACCTGCAGTGAAATGATGTTAAGTGTCTGCCTTAAACTGACAAATTCAAGGAGATTTAGAGTTAAGACTGCCAACTCTTTCAATAACTCACCTTTACTGCTGAATATAAAGCATAGAAAATCACAATACAGCACAGTTTATATGGAGCCAGTTCAGAGTGTATCAGAAAATGCTTTACATACATTACAGGGAAAACAGGATTTTTGTGGGCAGATTTAAGAATGTACACGAGTGAGTCAGAGGCTCGGACAGCAGGGGAGAGCACCGGACAGATGGGAAAGCAGGCAGGGGGCAGCGATCCCAGCTGTGGGACCTTGTGTAAGAGAGATGCACACTAGCATAGAGGAGCAGAGAGAGTGGGCAGAGACATGGTTGTCAGTGCTCTTGGAAATAAGGTAAAAAAGGAAGGATGAGAGAGGTATAAGGCGAATTTGAATGGGATTCAGAAATGAGGAAGCCTTTGCCAAAGGACAGCATGGTCTTAGAGACCACAGGATACAAAATCAGAAGGTCTCAAAATATATCTGTAAATGAGGAATCATCACTGAGTCACAGTGTTTCTATTGAGGTCCCACAGTGACCTCAGTTCTTGGCTCTCAATCAAGTTTAATTTATCAATGACCTGGAAGAAAATAGATAATTATTATACTAAGTTCTGATACAACGTTGAGGCACGAGATCTCTCCCAAGATACTGAGATGTATAATAATATGCATCCCAGTATAAAGTCTTAGGAAGAACACAACCATATTTGGGGCAGATGCATTCACAGTCTGACCAAGAAACCTATTCAGCTCCAGGTACGGGGTGAGCCAATGGGGACAAATAAAAGCAGAGGAAGCAACAGTCCTCCTTGACTGTCTAGTAAATCAAGTGTTCCTAAAAAGATAGGAACAGTATTTTGAGAACAACCTGTGAGGAATACTGCTGCTTTTCTGGAAAGTCTGAAATAAAGACTGGATGCTTTTGTTGGAAAAAAAACCAACGCTGCTTCCTGAGAGGGAGTGTTCTGTAGCCAGAGATCCTCATCACCAGTCAAATGACTCAACTTTTTTTCCTACAATACTTGGCCTGGTATCGCAAAGAACTTATCAGAAGCAGTTTCACTGCTTCCAAGAGCAACAGAGGGTTTTTCATTTGGGTATCCATTCACTGATGAAAGAAAGGAAGAAAGGTGAAAGAAGAGGTGAAAGAAATGACTCATTAAAAGATTTTTTTTTTTTAAATATATTTTAGAAAATACCCAAGTAAAAATACCCCTAGGATGCTAGGTATGGCACATACATAAATTCTGCCTTGGAGAACGTCTAACAAAAAGGTCTATTCTGTCACTGCATTGATGAAGTCTGTAGAGCAACTGTCTCGAGTAAATAAACAAAACATTTATATTTTGTGATAAAAAGGAAAACATACAGCAAAACTATAGATTCAAATGGGAATCGAGGATGTGACAAATAAACAGAGCCATGAATTATGTATCATACCTCCGTCATTGTCCAGGTTATCCCCACACACCATTTCCATGACAACATTACATCCTGAGCCGCTCCAGCCCACTTGACAGACACAGTGCCATCCGTTCTGATCAAGAGTACACCTGCCATTTCCATAACAGAGACCTGGGCAGCCATCTATTGAAGAAAAAAAGAAAAAGTGAAAAAAGAAACAATCGTTGAGGAGTTTTTTTCTCTTCCTGTAAAGTTGCAATTATTCAACGACATTCTTCAATCCTTGCTGCCTAAAAAAGAGAGCAACACAGCTCCTTTGCATGACATTCACACTCTTGGCTGAATATGGAAAAATACCTGTACTTATCCCTACTTGCCCAGGAATCATTTGTCATTGAGGAGTGAGGATTTTTTTAGTGTGCAACTTTTTGTGCACAGGCAAAAGTGAATAAATGTGTAAGAAGTTACTTAACAGCCTGCTGTGTCAATCTCTTTCTCTACACATAGAAAAAAAATGTCGTGTACCAGGAAATGTATATACATACTCAATGTTTATATCAAAGGTATACACGAGAAATATGTTTAAATGACAAACTGGCATTTTTGGACATGATCCTATATGCTGCAGGGAAACGAGGTGATTTATTTATTCTGATTGTAAAGACTGAGCTGAATGTGAAAAAGCCTGTCTGGTTTATTCTACTACACAATGACTTTCTACAGAAGGAAAATGAGGCAGCATTTCCTTTCAGTGTCTATTTCTACCTCTTTCAATGAGCTGATTCAAATGTGACAAACAGTTGCCCGTTAGTGGTGCTGGTTCTAGATAAAAACTGGAGCAGCGATTGCAGTCTCCCCTGGATTATATGCTTGTAAACTCTGAATCAATAGCAATTTGGACATTCTCATCTAGACCTCTTGCCTATAAAAGTAACTGAGTAACTGTGTCTTGGATTCATACTCACATGTCCATCTGCTTGCATAGTCTAGTGCCAGCTCAGACATTTGTCAAATCCTTGCCCTATCATGCATGGAGCCAAAGGACAATGAATAAAGCCCAGCAATAAGATTAACAGTGCAAGCAGCATCCTTTCTAAGAGGGCTCCAGTTTACCAGCGTGAATTTAGAGGATTTCAATGCTCTCTTGAATTTGAGAGTGAATATCAGCAGTTAAGTATGACCAGACCAGAGAGAATTTCTTTTGAGGACGAGGAAGAAAGAAAAGGCCTCAGGCTTGGGAGAGGCTGACCGGAGAGTGCCTACAACTGGTCTGGCAGATGTGACTTAAAGGCCGAATGCAGCATGTCTCCCAACAACCTTACACCAGACACATCATCTTTCTCCTCCCCCCTTCTCTGGACAGTTTATCAATCACATCTGGAAAGAGAGAGGAGAGTATGAGTCTCTTGCTAGGAGGAACTGAAGACAGGTGGCATGGTTTTCTCACATTGGAACTCACTGCTCTAAAATAGTTCGAGGTTGGCAACCACCAGACATACTGTAAAACCCAATTATTTGTCTTTTTGTGAGCTGGGGGAAAGGACAGGATTTGCGAGGGGATGTTTTTCCACTTCAATTTACCATCCTACTGAGTTAATTCATGTCTTGTACATGATTATATTTTGCTGTTGTGTATGGTTATTGTCTAAGACTATAAATGTAATCAAATGAATGCTTACATGTTTTTATTATCATCTAATTCTGAAGAAATGAAATAACAAATAGATACCAAGCACTCAGCTCTTTCTGGAATATTGGTTAGTTTGATATTTCAGCTCGGGGCAGTTCTGTAAGGGGCAGTGTGCATCACTGCTCTGCACAGCAGGGCTAGGACTGAGGGACTGCAGCCAAGCACGGGAAGGCACTCACACTCCCACGACCAAGCAGGACCTGAGGCAAGGCGTGGGAATCAAATGAACAAAACAACACAAAATTTAACCCTTGTATCAAGCGATTTGAAGAGAACTCTATCATGCATCTAGCCAAGACAGCTTTTATAAACAGGTCCCTCTCTATCAAACAAAACGGGCAAAAAAATAAAAATATTTTCTTCTCACAGAAGACAGGATCAAATTTTTCCAGCAAGTCCTCTGCTACTTTGCAATGGCAAGAAAGAACAAAGATCTGACTTATGGAGCAGCACATCAGATGTCTGCATGAATAATGTGTACGTTGCTATAACTTTGCAAATGAGCTGAGTACATTATTTGCATGATCTGCACAAAACTGCACAAAGTCTGCATATTTTTCTGTAAATCTCTCTTTGTATATACATATATCTCTGTGAACAAATATTTGATCTGTTTTGGCAACTTAACAGTACAGAAGCTCAGACAAAACATATAACACAACACTTAATTCCCAATACTTTTGTATCTTTTCATTATTGTTTTGCAATGCTGATAGGAAAAACTTACCTCGAACCGCATCTAAGTAGTGAGCTTAAAAAAGAAAAGAACAAAACTGAGATGGATTGAACTTCTGTACCAATATGAAAAAGACAGAAAGCGTTTGCTTATGGCTTGCCACCTGTTGGTTAGACATAAAGTGCCTCCCTTCTACTGCAATCATATCTATTCCTACCACTGTGATCAAAGCATGCTGCGCTTGTGATTGTTCTCCATTTGATGACAAGCATGCAGAGGAAGCTTGGGCCACGTGTGCAGTGCCTACACTGCGAGTAAGAGTGATGCAAAGCTTTACTTCTCTTTGTTATTATGTTTGTCCTGTCTGGATTTGCTCTACACAATCTCTGATAATGTAAGCCGTTCCTTCTTCGCGTATCTAAAAGTAGATTTAGCAAATCTGATGTAGTAAACTCTAGAGTCAATGAATTAATTGTCTTAATTATTAATTACCTTAAAATTATCAAGATAAAGATTAAACATTCTACTGTATTCAGGAAGAAAACATGAAAGCTCACACTGTTTACTTCTGAAAATTAGATACGCTATGCTTATAAACAATTAAAATGTTTATGAATAATATTGCTCTGAGACATTTTAGGGTGAAACACTGTTAGATTTTCTCAAAATAACCTTTTGCATTTCAGTAAACATATAACTATTACATTTCTACAGCAGAGAAATGACTTCTGAAAAGATCTGAGAGTATTGCATTTACTAGAAATACTGTTAGAACCCAGCTACAGGAAAAAAGAACCTCTAGAACAAAGTAAAATGTGTGAATCCTCAAATGCTATGGCAAGAGACAATGCAAGAATTACTTAAGCTGAACAACAGCTTCATCCCTAACACCTCAAAATCTCAAAATCAACACTTTCTCAAAACCTTTTTTTTATCCATGACTCAAAGTTCATGCACAACTTAGAGATATGCAGGGACCTACACAACTATGCTTTGTGTGTGTGGTTGTTTTTGTTTTTTGTTTTTCTTTTTTAAAGTTAATTCTTCGGTGTTATTTCCTCTAAATAGAGTACTGTGCTGTTGCCATTCTGTGAATGCCATTCTGATTGCTGGCTCTGCGTTTTTCTAAAACGTGAGTCCTGAAGGCCCTGGCAGATCCTTGCAAAACTGGTTAAAACGTCATTCATTTTACTTACAGAGGTACAAATCCCCCTTACCAATGGTGCAGTGGTCCCCTTCCCATCCGGGGCTGCACTCACACTTCCCATCTTTGCACTGCCCGTGCTCAGCGCAGTGGGAATGGCAGGTGCGCTCCTCACAGGTGGGTCCCACCCAGCCCTCCTCACACTGGCAGATTCCTCTCGAACACACACCGTGGCTGCCGCAGTCCAGGGTACACAGCTCTGCACAGGAATACAGAAACACATCACGTGAAAGAGCAACTTCATACCGCAGGTGGACTTTGCGCTGATGCTAAATGCAATCACTTCTATCCTAACAGCGATCAAACATGGGATTCTGTCACCTAGCACAGACCTCACACAACGTGGCTGCATCCTTCTTTAACAGCGTGTATTGGACTAGAGATTATAGTGATGGCTTTGCACACGGGGGAGCAATGGGTCCTAATCAGGTGCTAGTGACACAACAGTCCACGTCCTTTGGCTGATTTCAGCTGAGAACATGTCATAACTGTTGGGCTGTGCAGGCTGGAGAAGCCTAATGGGAGGCTGTGAGAAGGAAGGAGACAGAGTCCTTAGTGGGGTCTGTTGTGACAGGACAAGGGGTAAATGGTTTCAAACAAGAAGAGAGGAGCTTTAGATTGGATATAAGGAAGAAGTTTAATGGAATAAAGGCAGTTTATGGTGGTGCTCCATCTCTGGAGACACTCAAGGTCAGGCTGGACTGGGCTCCGAGCACATGATGGAACTATAGTGTCCCTGTTCAGTGCAGGAAGTTGGACTAGCTGACCTTTAAAGGTCCCTTCCAACTCAATTTATTCTATAAATCTATGATAGCCATGCCCACGAGCTCGTTTCTGAAATTTGTTATAGACTCAAACACTGTGTGTGGGATGAGCTAAAGGATAAAGTGGCGTTCTGAACACACAAAAGCAAACCAGCCTTTGATTCATTCAGATGTTTGCAGTGGAGGTAAAATGGCCTTCCCTTGCAGTACAGTGAACCAGCAAGAAGCCAGCACAGAAAGAAGGGGAGCCTGCATCCCATTCCACTGAAGCTACCACAGCTCTGCCTGGTTCGGAGAGAGCTTTCAAGGTTTAAGTCTCTCTCCTTTTTTTTTTTTTTTTTTTTCTCCCTTCCTTCCTTCCTCTCATGAGTCAACTGTTAAAAACCAGAGGAACTGTGTCAGGAAGGCAGGAGCACCTCCTGCACTTTGCTCCAAACAATTCCTCCACCTGGGCGCTGGGGAATGCACAGTGAATTGGAATGGGAGTCCTGAACTGCTTCAATACATCAAAATATGCCAATTGCAATTCTGCTTCCACTTAGACTAAAGTTATTCTGTGAAAAGAATGGCTTCATTATAGGGGTTCTGTGCAGTTTGATTTTATTTAGAATAATTAGTGTCAGGAGACAGAATTTGCTTGTTATTCGGCAATTAACCTGCCACAGAAATGTTTCCTCCTTTTTCTTCTTGGAGAGCAGCTGATAGCACAAGTGTGAGCCAAGTAACCATGCCTGCTCCGATTTCAAATGTCAATGTTACATATTTAGTTGTGGGAAGATTTTTCCCTTGACAGATCTTAAATAGTGATCATTTATACCCTGGAACTATTGTATATAAACATGCTTAAAAGCATTTGTAGCGATAAATGCTGTCACTGAACATGCCAAGCCAAATTTTTAAAGTTTAAATTGAAATCTGATCAATTCCAATCATTTTAACATAACAAGAAAAGCAGCACAGAAACTGAACCACGCTGAGACCAATGTGCCTGGGATCTAATTCGAGTTAGATTTCAGCCCTTATTTGCTCTCGTCAACAGCCTGCATAATGCACAGAGTGCAATTGAAAGGAATGGTGAGTGACAAACTGTGGCAGAGTGAGGTCAAACTCAAAACCACCTTCAGAACCTGGAGGTGTGGTAAAGAACAATGAAAGATGCAATGAAAGCAATTGCAAAGTGCTGTGCCTGAGGAACTCAAAACCAACTACATAAAAAGTAATTAATTTTTCTATTCAGACAGGGACTAGAGTTACATTGGAGAGCAAAATAAACACAATTATCTGTTGCTATTCTCACAAAAAGAGAAAATTGTACGTCCTTTTGTATGTAAGACCAGAAAAGAGACTGCTCTGCCAAATACAACTGCAAAGATGCCTCAAATGAAAAACTCTGCTGAAGCTGGGGAATTGTTCTTTAGAAAGACTTGATTGCTACCTGCTGATCGTGTATTAATCTAATGCTTCATGCTTTGGGCTGCCTGCCTTGCAGGTTCTGGGCAGGATTTCTTCCCTGTCACCACACGATTCGGTTTGACTTCTTTCCTTGGCTACTTGATCCTTGAAAAGCTGGGATACTGCTCAGGGGGCACCGGATTGCAGGGGAGAGCCTCCTTTGTTACTTCTTTGGTATTAGAGTCACTCAAATACTTTTTGGTCCTGTGATCAGGGATCACAAAAGTGATCATGGCATCCATCTACCTTCTGATCATAGGACCATCAGGTATCACAAAAGCATCCCCCCTGCCCCTCAGCCAGCCAGAGGACAACTGGCATTTCTTTCACTTACCTTTATACCATGGGGCACAGGCAAACTCCTGAGAATTAAATCCAATGAATCACCTGCTACTTCAAGGATTTAGGCTGCTGGAGGGATGCCTTTGATCTCTCCTGATCTCCCTGTAGTTCATTATAATTATAGTGCTTGCTATTTTACTTTAAGTGGCATAGATTGTTAAGAGGATTTTAAGAAATATTCCATGGCTTACACTATGCTGGGATAAGTGAAGCACAGAAGGTTGTTTTTTTTTTTAACTCTTATGGATTGAGTGCCTACTAGTTTTTGCAGATGTGGTACTGTTTTAGCTCAACCAATGCCAAAACTCCAGGGACTATTCTAGGAACACACAAGAGAGCCCGTGGCAGTGTATGCTGGAAATGTTGAAGTGGAGAAACTAGGTGATACATAGAGCTTCTGATCTTGTCAGCAGCTCAGGCAGCTTCCTCCACTTCTCTAACTGTAAATAAAACAAAGAACCAGCTGTGGAAAACCTTGAACACATTCTCATACACGGCATGACTTCCTTCTGCTTGTCTACCCCACAGAGTCTGATCTCGACATCTGCATCCTCCAAAGAAACAAAGAAATAGCAGGGGGAGGAAATGTAGGCACAACTCTACTGCTGGGATGTAGAATTTGACTATATTCCCACTTTACAACCTAAGGAAATAGACCCTAAAATACTGGACACTTTTCCATTGTTTTCTCCATGTTTCCAGCCTCTTTTATCTATTTCACACAAGGAATAAAACATTTATACACTATTTAAGCACATTAATATAATTAGATTAATAAAGTGGAAACAAAGAATACCCTAGGCCAGACAGTACATGCTGTAAGCACCAGATTAGAAAGAAAAGCAAAGTCCTTGTTTTTCTGTTTGGACCAGACACCTTCCCCAGTAGCAGTCATCCAACTGCTCAGCCCACTCATCCTTTATGGCCATGAGGCCAATTTTAGGAGCTGTTTCAGTGATTTAATGTGAGGCTTCAGAAACACTGCTTAATGTGTTAATGTGGTCTTCTGAAAAGCAAATCCCAGATTCTTCCCAGACCTCTCATGCAAAGCAAGGGAAATCAAGCCTAACACCATTATTTTTATAACATGATAGTACACACAGATTCAATTTGCAGCTAATTCAAACAACTAAGATTAAAGAAAAGAACGGTCAGTTTAATTTGTCCTCTTTTTAAATGCAAAACAATTCCTAGTTCCTTCTGTGGATAAACAATGATGGATGACATCTATCTGGACTTCTACAAAGTCTCTGACATGGTCCCTCATCACATCCTTCTCTTTAAATTGGAAAGGTGTGGATTTGAAGGATGGACTGTTCGATGGATTAGGAACTGGCTGGCTCGATACTGGCAAAGGGTTGTGATCAAAGGTTCTGTGCCAGGGTGGAGGCTGATCACAAGCGGTGTCCCTCAGGGATCGGTGCTCTTCTATATCTTCATCAATGACAAAGATGTTGACACTGAGTGCACCCTCAGGGAGTCTGCAGATGACACCAAGCTGAGCGGTGCAGTCGATACATTGGAAGGAAGGGAAGCCATCCAGAGGGACCTGGACAGGCTGGAGAAGTGGGTCCATGAGAACATAATCATGTTCAATAAGGCCAAGTGCAATAAGGCTGGGGCAATCCCAAGTGCTTACAGAGACTGGGCAAAGAACCCCTTGCAAGCGGCCCTGTGGAGAAGGACTTGGGGGTTCTGGTGGATGAGAAGTTGGATATGAGCCAGCAGTGTGAGCCTGGAGCCGGGAAGGCCAACTGTGTTCTGGGTTGCATTAAAAAAGGGATCATTGTGGTCCTTTCCAACCCAGGCCACTGTATGATTCTATGATTCCACGAAGTACAGAAATATCAGCACAGTAAGAAATCACATTAGCATTTGTGTTTGTACCATGGGAGGGTTTCCACAGCACGACTAAATGAGACATTGAGTAGACAGTGATCAAATAGGAAATGAAGAAACAACCTGAAATAGACAAATGGCTTAAAACAAGTCTGATGTAAGAATTCAGAAAGTACAGAAGTCCTCAAGTCAGATGTCATCCAAGTTGTTGGCACATCCTCCTCCTTCCATAGCAGTTGGCCCTACAGGATTCAGAAGCACCCCAAAATGCAGTGAATGCTCAGGAAGGAGCCAGCAGAGCAAGGCATGGCTTTGAGACGTGTGTAGACACAGTAGCCAAGCCAGAGATCTTACCTGTATGTGAATCAGTAGTTCCACCCCCCTCCTCTCCATCCATCTCCTGGGTCTGTGTCCCTGGTCTTATCTGGAGCTTATTTGAAACTGGTGAGCTCACTCAGAACATCAAACTGGCAGATCATTGTTCACTTTATCATCCTAGATTAATACCCGACAGCTTGCTGAGTTAAATCAGCCCGCTGAGGGATAAGAGGAGCAATGTGGGCAGGGTAAAGGAGGAGATGCAGAGCCCAGCCTGTCTGGAGCTGTCCTGAGGAGCCACAGTCTTTGTCCCAAGGGAAAGTGACACATATTAGGTAACAAGGGAGGCAGATGACAGGAGGATACATTTTATATTAGAGAAGTGGACTTTGGGGAATATTTATTATAATATTCTGAAGCCTTTAGTTGTGCTGTTACATCATCAGTCTTTCTCACAAGGTGCAGTGCAACACGTAACTCACGA